CCAGAATTTTTTCTAAGTAATTTTGGGACATTTCTTTTGATTATGCATAGGTACCTATAGAAATGTATATGTGAGACATAATTATCTATAATTACATATTCAATATACATTAATTACATATGTGTGAATAATTAATATGTAATTAATATATAATTAATATGTAATTAATTATATATTAATATGTAATTAAGACTATAAATGACCTTGTGTCCTGTTGCTGAATAAAAACAAACTGCTGCACACACAGCTGGTCCTGGCTGGTGATAATAGCGTCTGGTCCCGAGTGGTGACTGATGATGCCAATGGGCATGAGTGTCATCCCAACACGACGTAAGGGAGCAACAACAAAAGCCCTGTCTGAACTTCAGGAGCTCCAGCGCACACACTCCGCTCCCCCTCTCCCTCTGTCAAAATCTGGAGCTCAGTCAAACATGCCTTTGTGCTGACGTGGGACGGCTATGGGAACATGTTTTCATACCCTGGGCTTGTGTTCTGAGAGCGCACTGGTGGGCTTATTCAAACAAGCAGGACGGGACAGAAATTATGCCTTCAGCATTCGCAGCTGCACTGTAGTGCACTTAACTATGGCACATGGTACAATGCAAAGAAAAATGTCTTCTAAAACGATGCTCCAGCTTGTGCAAACGTGGAGATCTAACAAAAGATAAGCCTCCAGCACTGAGTCGTGTGACGTGGAACTCACACCACCGCTTCTCCTTTGCTCACTCATTCATTATAAAGGGTGTACAAATATCAGCTCTTCGCCAGGGGAACGCACATACGACAGCACTGACGTATTAAAATAGCATTATTTTTGTCCTTAATAGATCAGTTTCAAAGGTGTATTTGTGAAATGATCATGCTAAAATGAAAGAAGGAGCCAGACTGATGGACGGACAGATGGACACAAGTATGCGTTAAGCTTGTTCTCTTTGCCGTATTTGTTTATTTATGTTTATTAACTTAAATGACTAAATGTTGTAAATCGCTGCTGTCTGAACAAAACCAGCGTCTCCAAAATCGTAACTTTACAGGAGAAGGAAAAACATGCTTTACTTTTAATGTAAGCAATACATATATATATATATATATATATATATATATATATATATATATATATATATATATTGCTTAATTCCAAAATACAGTATATTATATATAGATATATTCCATAGGCTCGATAGATAGATAGATAGATAGATAGATAGATAGATAGATAGATAGATAGATAAAGTGCATCATAACATGCAAAAAAACTTAAATGACATGAACATTAAAAACAAATAATTTTTTTTTTATCATTTATAATTAAAATATAATAATATAATTCTTATTAGCTTATTTTAAATGCCCTTATCTGTTCATGCTTATACATTTTCAAAAAAACAAAAATAACGGCGGTTGAGTTCTGTCTTTCTGCGCCAGGCAGACAAAGGAATGCAGGCTGGAACGCGTTGTCTTATTTCCCCCCACCCGTTTTCCGACAAGCCCCGCCTCCTGCGCTATGACTGGCGGGCTGCTTTGTGAGTATTCATTCCTAGCCAATACTATCCCGCGAGGCGGGAGATCACCCGCCAACCAGGAACGCTGTGTACGAACTATTAGCCAATCCCTACGTACGGAGGGGCGGGGCTTCTCCGGAATACGGGTGGTGTTGGGGGAAAAATAACGCGGCGTAAAATGCTGCATCACCGCATTGGGGGTGCACAATTTTGGATGGGAACCGAATTTCGAACAACACCAACGGCTCCCGGAGAAACGTTTAACCCACAAACGCGAGCTGATAATCGGATCAAGTCGTGACGAGAGCAGCGCTAGCGAGCACTGTATCAGCACAGCAGATGTTGTTGTAGCTCTCGGCAGCGTGTGTGTAAAATAAGGGCTAGCGGAGGCTAATGCTACATTCATTCTCTCAGCTGAAGACAAAGCCAAGTCATTCATAACGAGCGAGCTCACTGTTTACCACTGCAGGCAGCACAAACAAAGCGGCGTAGCGCAGGTTTGATTCATTCTGGCGAAATAAAATGAGGTTTGAGCTCATTTTTCGCGACGTTCGCTACAGTAGGAAGACTTAAAGGGGGATTCCACCAATGTTTTCAAAATTTCTGAATAATTCAGTCCTTGCGATGTAAACTGAGTCATTCTGAGTGGTTTGATGTGAAAGGGTTCATTGTGGACAAACCTGCCAACTCAGATTTCTTTACAGTGGTGACTGGAACCAGCTGCCTCAACGTCTACAAGACAAATATAGCCATTTTATTTACTATCCAAAACCACCAGTGAACCTACATGAGTTCATGAAAAACACAACTTTATTTTGGGGACTATTTTGCCTTACAGCGCCCTGCATATACCCCTCCACTGTGAATGGATGAAAACAAATGAGTTAAAATACATTTTGAGCCAAAACTATCATAAAACAATGTGTCAGACAAATGTGTACACATTTTTATGTAATAACCTTCTCTGAGGGAGGTTTTAGAGGAGGTCAATTCTTCGGATGTCCGGTTCCTATCACCACCACTGTGAACGATTCCGACTCTACAAGTTTCTCTAGAACAAAGCATTTTACATCAAACCACTCAACATGACTTTGTTCACATTTTTACAGTCTACTCATACAGACCTTTGGAGAAATCAGTGGAGTTCCCCTTTAAGCTGCTCGGTGCACTTGTTTACAAGCGAGTCCACGCTGACTCCCACACAGCTCCGGCTAATCACACGCCTAATCTGATCACCGGTCATCAATCACATGTGATTTTTTTCCTCTACGTTCAGCTCATCGCAGGAGAGCTTTTTGTTATTTGTGTCACATTCCGACAGATGGACCGAGGAGAAAAAGGGGTCTCTGCTGCTTTAAATGGCGCCCTCGGGCAACAGAGCTGCTGCAGCCCCCCTTACACAGCAGATATTTCTGCTGATATTTGTGTGGATTAATGGGGAGGGGGGGATTGTAATGCGGTGGCTCCGGGTTGGAGAGCACTGTGCACGGCAGAACAAAGCCAGGCAGAGAGCTGCTTTTCTGCTGCAGCAGGATAAGCACATTCCCACAGCAGCAGGCTGCCTGGACCGGGATGCACTTACACAAAACACAGTGACAGACTGTTCTCCATGTGTACAATAAGGCCAGCACTAATCAACACTGAGGATAACAGTGATGATAGCAGCAGCAACAATAGCAACAATACTAATAACAGTCTTAAAAAGGCTGGTTCTTTAGTAAAGGCAGTGGTTCTATATAGAACCATGAGTTCTGTATAGAGCCATTTGCATGCTTAGAGGGTTCTTTGCAGGGTGAAATGGTTCTTCAGACTGATGGAGAATGTATTGTTACAAACTTGAGATCGGTGCTGTATAGAGCCACTTTCAAAAAGGTTCTCTATAGAACCATATACAACACATTTCGTTCTATTTACAACCTTCTTGAAAATGGTTCTACACAGCACCAAAAAGCGTTCTTCAGTTGTTACTTGCTTGAGATTGGTGACATCTAGAACCATTCCCAAAAAGGTTCTGTATCTATCCATATACATGTTCTATGTAGAATCATATACAGAAAAATGGTTCTATTTACAATCTTTTTGAAAATGGTTCTATACAGCACCAAAGTTCTTTACTGATTCATATGCAACACTGTATAGAACCATATACAACATATATGGTTCTGTATAGCACCTTTTTGAAAATGGTTCTGTACAGCACCAAAAAGTGTTCATTAATTGTTACAAGCTTGGGCTTGGTGCTATATGGAACCATTGTCAAAAAGGTTCTATATAGAACCATAAACGACACATATGGTTCTATAAAGAACCTTTTTGAAAATGTTTCTGTAGAGCACCAAAAATGGTTCTTTGATTGTTACAAGCTTGATATTGGTGCTCAGGGGGTTCTATATAGAACTGTATACAGCACTATAGCACCTTTTTGAAAATGGTTCTGTACAGCACCAAAAAGGGTTCTACAGCTGTTACAAGCTTGAGATCAGTGCTATACAGAACCATTTTCTAAAAGGTTCTATATTGATCCATATGCAACACATTCTATATAGAACTATATAAAACACATATGGTTCTATAAAGAAAATTTGTGAATATGGTTCTATACAGCACCACACACAACACGTTCCTCATCAGTTTGAAGAACCAGTTCACTATTTAAGCATGCAAATGGTTCTATATAGAACTCATAGTTCAAAACAAAACCATTGCCTTTGCTGAAGAACCATTAAAGTAGGATCTTTGTTAGGTGTGTAGGAGAATAACAATAACAGCAGCAGCAGTAATAATAATAATAATAACGATAATGATAATAATACTCATACTGCTGCTACTAACAGACTTAATAAGCGTCCACTTTAATGTCACGTGCACTCTAGAACACCTATCTTTGATAATCTACGTTAACATATCTGTCTGAAGGCACTGCAGAAAGTGGACCACAGGGCTCTGTTTGTGCCCCCTCGGGTCGGTCAAGGCTTCAGGGCTTCCGCGAGTGACAGCTTCTGTTCCCTCCGCGAAAACAAGAGCCATGCCTGAGCCCCCCACCTCCCCCCTCTCCAAAACACACACACACACACACACACACACACACACACACACACACACACACACACACAAAAACCCTCCACCCTTCCTCCTCCTCCTCCTCCTCCTCCGGGATGGCAACGCATCCAACTCCTTTTGCGAAAACAGCCAGCCGCTCTCTGTATCGCTGCACAGCACAACAGGATGCGGCCACGTCCCAGTGCGCGCGCGCCGTTCACGTGCACGGTGTTTGGTCAGTGGTCAGTGCAATGCATTAGAAAATACAAGAAGAAGAAAAGGTTCCCTCAGAGCTTTAACCCCCCCCCACACACACACACAGACCACCAGCACCTCCTCCTCCTCCTGCACGAGCCCCGAGTTCCTAACTGCATTTCTGCGTTCGCGCTCAGGAGGCTCCACTCGAGCTCCACGCTGAAAGTGCAGTGCACGCGGAAAGAGCGCAGAAACAGCACGTACCTTCAGAAAACTCTCCTCTGTTTACGTCCCTCGTAATCCAGCCCGCTCTGTCCGCTCGCGCTCTCACACAGAAATCAGTGTCTCTCACATGATGACTTCCTCGCAGACTCCTCTAAAGCCTCCGCGCAGGAAGATCAAAGCCTGCAGACTCACTCTCTCTCTCTCTCTGTCTCTCTCTCCCTCTCTCTCTCTCCGAGCGCGAAGTTCAGGACTTCTTTAATTTTCTCTCTCCTCCTTCAGGGTGCATGCGCGCGCGTGTGTATATCTCTCTTCTGTTGATGTGTGAGCGTGCGCGCGCGCGCCTGTGTATGTGTGAGTGAGCGAGTGTGTGTGTGCGTGTGTACGTGTGCGCGCGCGCGGCGGTGATCCCGTGCAGCGTGCAAGCTCTCCGTCTCTCCTGTGTTTGGTACTGAAGTGCAACGCCTCCCCTCTCTCTCTCTCTCCTCTCTCTCTCTCTCTCTCTCTCTCTCTCTCTCTCTCTCTCTCAGCCAGGGTTGTTGACATTCGCGAGTGACGTCACCTCCCCCTGCCCTCATTCACACAAAGCGGCGCGCGGGCGCCTGCGCCAACCAGCCAACCAAATAAATAAAGAAAATAAATAAATAAATAAATAAACAAAACGGACGGTGCGCGCGCGTAGACGTCGTTGGTGAATCGAGAATGGAGAGCGCGCAGCGGTTCTATAATCGGCGCGAGGAGTTCACTACAGCGAGGCAGCCGGGGGGCGGGCCACAACGCGCGCAAACGAGGTTCGAGAATCAGCGTAGCGCTGCAGAGCTGACGTTACTTACTATAATCAGCAATAATCACAATTATTATATATATATATATATATATATATATATATATATATATATATATATATATATATATAAACAATAGTTACATAATTATGATGATAGCACTAGACGAATTAGCCATATATAATATATATATATATATATATATATATAATATATATATATACATATAATACAATACAAACCATACAATACTTCATTATACTATAAAACTACTGTAGTTACTATGTAATAACAAAAATAATTATTAATAACTCTCTTTAAAAAGACTAACGTTCTCTAATGGTTCTTTAGTAAACAAAATGGTTCTATAAAGAACCATGAACATGAATGTTCTGCATGATTAAAGGGTTCTTTGCATCACGAAATGGTTCTTCAGAATGATTTAGAATGTGCTGTAGATGGTTCTATACAGAACCTTTTTGAAGAGGGTTCTATATAGTACCCAAAAGGGTTCTTCTATTGTTACAAGCTTGACATTGTAACAAGAGAAGAACCCTTTTGGGTGATATATAGAACTCTTTTCAAATAAGGTTCAATACAGAACCATCTACAGCACATTCTGAAGAACACTTTGCTGATGCTAAGTGTTTTTTTGTTTTTTTTTAATGTTTATGGTTCTTTACAGAACCAATTTCTTTACTAAAGAACCATTAACGGACCACCTATTTAAGAGTGTATATGTAATAATTATAACTAATTATTTGAAGTATTATTATTATTACTAATCACAATAACAATATTACTACCACTACTACTAATAATAATAGTTATTATTATTATTTATAATTTATTGTTATTATTATTATTATTATTATTATTAATAATAATAATAACAATTCTTCTGACAATGTTTACTTAAGATGATTAGTTATTAAAAAAGATTGTCTTTGTATTATTGTTCTCATTCTTACTATATTATAATTATTTCTTAACGATCAACAACAACAAGAATGAGTGATAATGACATGTTGTAATGACAGTTGATAATAACAGTGTTTATCAAATGATTCCTATTAATACCTCACAATAATTAGGCTGTTTATTCATAGAAGATATTAATATTAAAGTTTATATAAACATATTGTGTTTTTCACAGCAGTGAAAAACAAACAACATTACAGAAGAGGTAAAGCTCTGAACACAGTGCACTCACTGAGCACAGACTCGCTTTGTTCTGCAGCAGCCCACACACTACAGCAGCTCCGAGGGGGAGAGCTTCGTTTGGAGTGGAGAACTCTCCCCCAGAGGAGTCTGCACACAATCGGGAACCATCACACGGGACTGTGTTCGCTTCTGCACGAGAGTCTGAGTGTCCTCTCGCTGTCAACGAGGGATGGAAGTATAACAAGCAATTCATCTCACAGAATCAGATTATAGTCCCAGAGCAGGAACAATGAAGAACCAACGATATGGGGCTCATTCTGTTAGTGTGGAGAACATGATTTGGAGTGCAAAGTTGTTTATGCTTCATATTCCACTGTATGAACTGAATTTCAACTACAATCACATTCAAATGTGTACATATATGTCCATTATATCCAAAGGTATCCAGACACCACTTCTCACATAGCTTGTATAATCTCCAAAGAAAAGAACTGACCAATAGAAACTCTCTACAGCAGTCGCACATGAGCTTAAGGTGGAGTGGTGAAGCCCAATTCATACCTTTGGGATGAGTTGGCATTTGTGATCCAGAAGTAATCATCCAACACCTCACTAATGCTCTTGTGGCTGAACGCAATCAAATACTCACAGCAATGTTCCAACATCTAGTGTAGTTTGCCCAGAACAGTAGAGGCTGTTACTGCAGCAAAGGGGAAACAAATTCTCTATTAATGCCCTGAATATCAGAAGAAACATTGTATGGGCAGGTGTCTACAAACATTTGCACACAGTTTTCCCAAATTTGGATTAAGCCTAGTCTTAGACTGCACAGCATTTAGAAGGAAGCTTCTCCTTTGAAAGGGGAATATTAACTGAGGTCGTGTCAGTGACAGTGTGAACTCAGTAGAGAAGCTGTGTTTAAACCAGGCTGATTACGGCTGTGAGAGCGACAGGTCCCATTCATGCCTCTCTGTTTGTTTTCCACACAGAAATTCTTCTATCATTACCTTCTTATGGATTAGTGTACATGAGCACCGATCACTCAGGAGGATCAACACCACAGACACACACCTTTACCCAGCCACACCTACCCACACACACACATAGCTGAACAGTTGAAGTGGTCTTTCTGCACCCTGTACTCGGTGACCTCTCCTCTGGGGCATTCCCTCATTCTCTCAAGTGGCCCAGCCAGACTGAAGAAAAAACAGATTCATACATGTGAGAGAGAGAGAGAGAAAAAAAGAGAGAGCAGAGGGAGAAATGTATATATATATATATATATATATATATATATATATATATATATATATATATATATACATATTTACAGTAAACAATAATAAAATGCTATAAATCACAGAAACATTGCTGCAAAAAGTAGTATGATATTGTTTTTAAAAAGCTGGTATTTTAAGATACTTGATTATTTATATTTATATATTCATATTATGTATTTATATATTATCTATAGTTTTAAGGTTTAAATAGCTACTTCTGTTCTAATGTTCTGAATCTATTTGTTTTTCTAAACAAACATACACTTACTGCGAAAATGAATGTTTTAAAAAGTTTCTGAGGTGCCAAATACTTTTGCACACACACACACACACACACTACAATATATCTGTACATATGATATCAGATGTACTGATAGAAGATGGAACAGTTTCCACTGCTCTATTAAACCTGCTGCTCTGTTGACTCTGGTGATGCACTGTAGTTTTAAAGTGTAGAGCATTTTTTTCTCCTTTATTAAAAGATTTATCCAAATGCACAACTGGAACCTCAGTTCTATTTACTTTTGATTTACTTATGCATTTAAAAGTATTAGTTTTTAGTAAAGTGACTCATTTGTGTTTATTACGCTTCAATTTGTTTTGCTTTGACCAAAATGAAAAGTAAAATTAATGTCAGGGTTTCTTTTTTACATTAGTATTCAAAATGTATCGTACAGTGGTGCCAAAACCACAGTACACTATATTGTGAAATGTGTGTAAAGCCCAGTGTGTGTGTGTTTAAGTGGTAGGGGAGGCAATGGTGTGTGTGTGGCAGTTTTATTTTCCCGCCCACCGTGCTGGACAAACACACACGCTTTGAGTCAGGAAGTGTAATTAGAGTTAATGCAAACAGCATGCACTGCGTCTGAGGCTCAGACAGACAGAGAAAGAGAGAGAGAGAGAGAGAGAGAGAGAGAGAGTGATAGAGAAGAATAAAGGAAGGAAAGAATTGAGAATTGAGAACGCTCAGACAGACAGAGACAGATGCACTTCCACACTTGCAGCACATGCTGGACTTCACTGGCCAGCCGACCTCCTGTACAAATTGCACAACACAAACACATTCATCTCCACTGCATGACCGAAAAACGAGAAAAAAGCACTGACCACATGCTGTTCATTAAAGCATCAAAAAGGACCATGTTTAAAATGTTATTTAATGCTTATTCACGTGTTACAACATGCCTGTGTGTCTCACCTTCAAACGGTGTCATTAAAACTATTTAAACATGATTATTGATACAGGTTTTTGTGCAGACGCGTGTTCTCTGTGGAGGACGTCTTCACTTATTTTGACTCAGAAAATCAACAACGCAGGACATGTGCCCGAGGGTGCCAAAACTTTTGCATATGACAGTATGTTCATGAGTGTTCAAAAGTTTGGAATCCATGTTTTTATAGTTGGTTGCAGATTAAAAAAAAATCTAACACATTAGTCCTTCACTAACTTCACAGCATTCAAAGAATTCATAGAACAAATCTAAAATTATAACACAGTTAATATTTAGAATTTGTCATATTTCAGAAGTGGAGATCAGAGCTGAAGGTTAATATCTTGTGCGTATTATTTTAGAAATACTGAACAAAACATGTAGAAAATCCCTTTGGTGAACAGTCCTCACTGTAGAAGTTATTATCATACCTAAAATACATTTTTGTATTGTTCTTTTTATTTTTTAATAATTTATTTTTTAATATTTTACTTTTTTATTGTTCCATTATTGCCAGATTATTGTTTAACATCTTTTATTCCTTTGTTTTATGCTTATTTGATCTGTTATTTATTACGTTACTAAATTGTTGCAATTTTAATGGCTTATTGATTTTTGACTTTTCTTAATATTAAATGTACTATTATTGTTATTATTGATTTTTTTTTAGCATTTAATATGTTTTTACTAATCCAATTTTTCAACCCCAGTTTTCTGAGTTGGCTTGGCTACATTATAAATGAGGGTCTCCCTCAATGTACTCCAAGTCTAAATAAAGGTAGACTGATTATTTGATTGATTGATTGATTGATTGAAAAAAATAG